GAAATTCAGAACTTTCTGTTTTAACATGCAGAGAAGGGGATCCGAACTCCTGACGACTTTACAGGCTGTATCCAGTACCATTCTGTCATGTAGACACTCCAAACTCAAAATTCCACGGCCTATCTGTTGTCGGGGGAAGTACAACCGTGGAACGGACGATTTGGGATGCAAACTCCTATAGAGATGCATCATTTTTCGGGTCTTTACGTCGAGTTGATACAGCTCCTCCCGATTCCACTTCACTACTCCAATCGAGTATTATTATTATTATATGTAGTGAAGATATACATTACTAATAGGTAATATTTCTGAATGAATAAAGTAGTAAGAAAAATTATGAATGATTGATCAGTATCAAATTATATTACCTTATAGGTGTGAGATAATATTATATTTCGAAGTTCATAACTACAGTTTTTTATGTTTTCCTTTAGTTTGATATTCGAATTATAAAACCTAGATGTCACCCAGTCCGTGATCTTGCTTATGTGTTACAAGTAAACAATGCTGAATATGTAAAGAATAATTCAATAACTTCAACTCGATTCGCTTTCAGATTGACCTCTGATAAATATCGAATCAAATGTTGATCGATATTTTTTTCTATGTTACAAACAGTACCTGATATATGCAGTCCATGTGTAGCAGGTTTTGAAATCGGTTGATATCGTATATTAATTCATACCAACATATCATTTTATCATTGGGTAATCAATATAAATGATTGTTCACCGTAGTGACTAACGTAATCGGAACAAAGTTAGTAATTCTCACACACAATCTCTCAGGACACAAAATATATATGTAAGTATAGGTAATATAAAAATGCTTATATTATCGCTTATATTAAGTCATTCAGACATACATCGTCATCAAATCATATAGCAGAATATTATTGGTTCAAACACACTCTTACTGAAACAAAACTATGGTGAACTCCATCGTGTAAGTGCTACGAAAATATTAATTGTAACTTTCACCACAGGATGGTAGATTTGATCAAAAACATATTCCTCACTGCAACTGCTATTCGATAGTTGTAAGTGAAAGTCTATTTTCAATCATCCAAAGAACTTAAGGTAAATCCTTGGGTCTCCAATTTCAATAATTATTTATTTTAACGTTTTGAGTGAAGGTTGCACTTTCACGAGGATCTATACTTTATTGATGATTCTTCATCAAACTATAGCTAAACCAAAATGCATTTTAACAGCTTTATAACTATCGAATGCAGTACAATGAAGTATATGTTCAATTGAAATAAAAATTCCAGCACTATGTTTCAGTAAACGTCATCTTTGAGGCTTGTTTTTCTAGATTAACATTTTATATTTAAAATTATATTTTTCCTGTATGCATTCATATGCATACCATTGTCAGACCACCAACGCTACGCCTCTGCATTGTGCTGTTAGAGACCGCACTGGACGGAATTGAAAAATCAAATGAGAGTAGGTATAGGTGACCCAAAATACGTGAAAGCGTTATGATAGCTGCCTAATATGTTAACAATGAACTGTGAGAAACAGACGCAAGGGACAGGCCTCAGTTCAAATTTCATTAACAACAAACCACCAATTCAGTCACTAACTTCAGGTTTTTCTATTAAAGATTGTTCGTACTATAGTACAATTCCATAACAGTAAGCACTAAATTCTCAGACATATTATTACATTCAAACGAAAACATTATTGTCAAGGTTGTAATTCTGTACATTTTATCAGCTTTTTTCCTCATCTGTTCAGTATAATTTCCGTACGCCACTGCATACACCAAGGATTCGTTATGGAATCGAATCAGATATCATTCACAGGATTGCTACACAATATAGTAAATAAAAATAAGAGATAGGTCCCTTTCAATTTGAATATGAGATATTATTCAACTTGTAGAAATTATTTGTAATAAAAAAATCTAAAATGAAACGAGTAAGAAAATTATATGAGAAATCTCATGGGTAATGGTCACATTTCTCCCTCTCTCTCTCTCAGTCAATAAATACCATTTATTAAATGAAAATTCCATTAAACAAGTTAATTATAAATGTCCACCTAAAATCCAACAAATACGTAGATTATTATTCATGGCAATAATGAATAACTAGGTTTTTACCCAATTTAGATATAAAAAGTTACCTATTCTCTAATGGAATAGAAATTAGCAACAATTAATTCGAAAATTGTGAAATGAAAATGCAATACTCCTGATTTGAATAGTCTGTGAAGTTTTAATCGAATAAATTATTCATTGGCATGGTACCCATCTGTAGTTTTAATATACAAAGTGCAGGTGTCACTTTTATCAATCCAAAACTTTTCCGATGTGAATTAATAATGTCGTTCTCTATGATTCGAATTTCGTACTTAGATTGCCCAAAATGGACAACGGAAGTTATTCATTAGCGTTCTCAATCATTATTTGTCAGAGAATGAAATGAAAAGTTTTGGAACCCCATTTGCTATTTTAGGTTTGAATATATTCGTCATATATTTTAAATAACAAAACAGAACATATTGATTCTTTCTGTTCAAATGACGTAATTAATTTGCATAAAGAAATTACATATTTAAAAAGGAATATGAATATGTGATACTGTGAAATGATGCTTTCTTTCAACACATGTTGTACTCACCGTTTTGTTGTCAACTGGATATGATAACTGATAATAAAATNTTTCCTTTCATTTGTATTGAATATTCCTATACATGGTGGAAGAACAAGGACATTGGTCCTAAGTAGAATAATTCCCATTATTATTTTTATAATTACCAAAACTTATTTTTGTTTGTGCATATCCTAACGGGCATAAGCATTCAGCCAATCTTTGGATAGCTAAGTAGGAAAATTAATATATTATAGTAGTAACTAATCCCTTGGCTTCGAAAGTTGATAAATTTTGCTGGTGGGGTTGGGAAAATTTGGATTTCCTTCCCCCCCAGGTTTTTCTTTTCGTTACGGCCCTGAATGGCAGTAACATAAAATTTCAAAATATGATTGAAGAGTGGGCCAAATAACAATAAAATCAACCCCTAATACCCTCCTTAAACTAAAATAATATTTGAAATATAATTTAACAACAGATTTTCTGTGAATTCCTAACTTCGCTTCAACATCAGCATTCCCGACTCTTTCGTATTTTCTAGCAAAGACTGCCATGCCCCTACCTTTTGGTTCTTAGTTCTTCTGATGAGTATGGAAGATACTCTCAAATCCACCCACAGACATGATAATAATATAGACTGATGACGCCACTTTTACATATATTCCACAGACAGTCTTGGCCACTGCGTCACAACACCATGTAACGAATCAAATCCCAAAATTTTCATAATGGAAATGTACAACACGTGAAACTTCGTAATGTTGTATCTGACGTAAAATGTATGAGTGACGTAAATGCCAAGATGTGAATTACGTTATCTGCTGGAGTCAATGTTCTCTCTTCAATGACCAGTCAATATAATGACGTCACTGGATCCACATTTTCTAATAACAGATAACAATCTACTATAGCTATATAGCTAACAAAAGTTTGCCAACGACCTCTCTGCAATAAGTGCAATATCACATTGTGATATAGACGTTGACAAGACATATAAAAGATCGTCTTCCGTGAATGGCTGCAGATGTCTCTGTAAGATTGCATTAATTTTTTGATGTCAACAAGATGATATTTACAACATCTTCTGCTTCTGTATTATGAAATGAGGAATTGAATGGGGCTACACAATTTAGTTACCTAGTTCAGAGCTAGGTAAGAAGTTTCTCCGTGATATCAATGAGAAACCAGTAGTGTATAGTTTTTAAGAGACATTCTTGGACATTTCAATGAAATATAGTTTTGAACAAATTGTATTTGAAGGGAAGAAAATTTGAAGAAACCACTTCTAAATGTTATCAATCACCCACTATGTAATCAAACAAACTTCAGTGTCTGCTACACGTTTTGTTTACAAAAATCCAGCCTCATATTTTTTTTTCAAATACGTACCTGTACATTTTTAACAAATTATATACCTCTCTCGATCTTGCATTTACTTATGTACCACTTATGTTTTCACGACGTTTCTTTCCAAAAAAATGTCATCATAACTGAGTTGATTATATCTGAAATTCAATATCTAGGTAAGTACTTGAAAGTGACGTGAAAAGCCAAATTTGAAGCCTGTGATAAATATTCAAAAAGTAATTATGATTTCGACTCTGAAATTTCGAAAAAGTCTCAACTCGTTTATTAGACAACATATTTTCATCACGTGAATCAAGGTCCTTACTTTCATTTTTGAAATATTGAAGTATCGATGCCTATTATAGCCTTCATATAGTTCAATCAGTCACATAAGTTTTTTCATATCTTGTATACTGAAGATATCAGAGCAGAAAAATCTGCGATTTTAATTTTTTCAAGAATGTCTCTGGATAGACTGAATTTCTAAACAACATAATCCTATTGCTTTCTAAANAGCACCCAACCTGACCTAGAGATGGCGGTAATTGTTTGAAAAACATCACGGTATTAGAAAGTACACAACCTATAAAGCATATATGTTTCAAGTTTGAAGACGCTGCGTTGTTTAGTATTTGTTTGGTGAAAATTGGTCATCGTTATGTGGTACAATACCTTTATTTGAAAGGCCTCAGCCCAATTTATTTTATTCATTTATAAACATATAATTGGCCAGTAATCAGAATAGATCTGGTGTTATGGCTTGCAAAGTATTCTTCGATTGATATAATCTTGTAGTTATTTATAACAATACCAAAATAATAAAAACAGAAAAACAGGGTGGCGTACTTCTGGGACCAGCAAACTTAATATTCACTGAAGGAATTGATTTAGAAAAAATTGATGTTATGAACATTGCTGATCGTTTTTGGGCGCATCATTAAAAAACAGTACTTTGTCTCACAATATTAACACTGAAATTATGACAATTCTTAATTAAAAATTGTCTGTATGTTCATTTCGTGAACTCTATTCCGAAAACCAGATTTTAAAAGACACTGTTCAGTGTCTAACTTACCTAGTAGCGAAAACATGTCCATTGGCGTCCTTGACATGTACAATGTCAAAGGAACCTGGATGACGTTCCCTATTGATGACCGTACCAACACGACCCAAATTCCTTCCTCCAGTTATCATACATAAATTTCCAGATTCGAATTTTATGTAATCGAGGATTTTGCAAGAGGCAATCTCCAACTGGATGGTGTCGTTGACCTTGATGTTTGGGTCAGGATAACGGATGGTACGTCCGTCGTGTGTCACTATGAAGGGAATTCCTTTGGGGCCAGTTTGCATCCTCCTGACTTTGCATAGTTTGTACTGAAAAGTAATTGAAATTTTACTCTTTGTGAAATAAAATTTAGATTCATTATGCACGAGTACTACAGTTCTCAGATGAGTAAGAGTTGAATCACATTGTTCATTTTGTATTGACTGTGCCTAAAATCATCATTATACTAAAAAAAATTCGACAATTTACTAACTAGGAGAAAAAAAATGTATTCGAAGTTGTTAAAATTTTTCAACATTTCTATGTTCAAATGAATGCAATGTAGAAATAAAAATTACGTGTGACAATGTCCGTCAAACCCTGAGGCACTAGTGGTATAGTATTTCCAATACCAATTGGAACAGCACAGATAAGGAATTCCCGCCTCGACATAGGCGTCGGCATACTATTTTTCAGTGGTAGTTTTTCAGTTACTTATTCTTACAATCATAACAATTGATCACCCCATGAAAAAGTTATCTCAACTGAATTTTTCCACCATGGGTTATTATGAAAAACTTCGAAATTTAAGGTAGTTGATTTCAGAGTCGAAAACTCTAAAATACAATGAAAACACAAATAATCAAAAAATGCTAACCTTGTTAGCGAAACACGCATCGAGTACAAAAATATCAGTTTGGTGTTAGGGTAATTGGTGTGGTGTTAGGGTAATTGATCTCTAGAAAGTTTTCAAAAATCGGTTTGCAAAACCACTCATTACCTCACCTAACCCCACGAACACACGGCACTAATAAAGAAATATTGTGAAACGGACAAAAAATTTGTATTCAGCCAATCAAGCTAGCCGAGCCTTTATTCCTCAACTACGTTTGATAGCATGTTTAATAACTATCTGGGCGACTAGGGGCCACAGGCAAGAAATGTTTACGACTGTAATTTTATTTTTTTTGCTGTTCCAATTGGGAATGGATAGACTATAACAATATATCTGCAACCATTATCTTTCGTAAGAGTAAAAAAAAAGAGGCATAATCCAGTGGTGATGATGAAAGTCGAAAACGCTTTGCAATAAGATTTTAAAATTATACACTTCTATACAAACATCTTCGATTCATTCACTATTCACTAAATTGGGGATGTAGAAAAGTAATAGATTCAACAGCTGGTACTATATTTATAAGTAATATATGGAAAAATGGAATGTGTCTGATGAGAAAAGTTGTTTTGATCATCAGCGTGTGAACTTTGAAATCACAGGATCTCATTCCTCAATTGTCTAATCGAAACCCTTGGAAAACAAACTTGGAAGCTTATAGTTGGGCAGGTCTATATGCTACTGTTACTATTACTTCTTTATGGTTTTATATTTTCTGGCAGTTTCTTAATGCTGGGTAGCATTGGTCTCATTTCTTTGAGAAACTTGACCTTGTGCATAAAGTTCAGTATTCACAAAGATACAAGAATAAATTAGAATCCATTACCTTTGCTTCCTCAGCGGTAATACGATGCACTGCAAATCGTCCTTTAACATCATAGATGAGTCGGAAAAATTCACCAGTTTTTTCAATGGTAATAACATCTGGAACATAATGTTACTTGTTAATGCAACTTCTTGAAGTGAGAAAGATTCTGTATGAATTATTTCATAGATTGACTGAAAAATGTAAGTTAATGGGACTGAGAGGCCTTCAGAATTGATATCCAAAAAAAAAAATTCCAATTTTGTGAAATGTCTACTCAGTAAGAACCTCCCCAACAATTTTACAAAAGAAATACTACTCTGAAGGTACCATTTGGGAGGTTCGCTTGATCAAAAATCATTGCAAATTCATCAGTAATGATTTTTCCATTTAACAAATGAAAAATTCAATAGTTGCCACAAATACAACTCACCCATAAACCCAGCAGGGTAATTGGAGTCGGTCCTTACTTTTCCATCTACTTTGATTAACCTTTGCATAACAATCTTAGTAACTTCGCTGTTAGTCAAAGCGTACTTCAATCGGTTACGTAGGAAGATCACCAAGGGCAAAGACTCTCGCAATTTGTGAGGTCCTGTAGATGGGCGAGGTGCGAAAACACCTCCCAATTTATCCAACATCCATGCTTTTGGGGCATTCAAACGCTTCAAGTGCTTCTTCGGACCTCGAGCCTAAAATCGTAGAGGTTATGTTGACGTTCACATTTCATGTTTATAGTCTAAAAACTTTCCTGAGAAGCTACTTTTGTGTTAATACTTTTCAAATGAACATATATGATTTTTTTCTAAAAATATATCTGCATTTCTGCCTTAACAAATATTTTTGAGGTGATATGTTCTTCGATTGGAAAACATTTTTTAACAAAGATATAGAAAAAAAATAAAAGTAACATCATTCAGTAGCCAAAAAGTTATTTACAAAATTGCATATTTTTCAATTAAATCTACTTTTTGAGTGAAGATGGAATAAGAAAAATATTATCTTAACTTCAACCTACCATTTTGCACTCAACTTTACAATCAAAAAGAAAAGAGAGACACCAAACTTCCAACAAATAAAACTAAAAAGAGACCTACCAACAGGAGGTTGGTATTTCTTCTTCTTCCCTTTTTTCAGAAGGATCTCGGATCACTGCTCAGAGTGACATTTTGTATTGACATTTCTACGAAATATTACAATTTAACAAAACTTTCCCGAAATTCCAATAATGAAAGTGTTGTTGCAGAAAATACAAAATCGTTATTTGATGTCGAAGTCGATAGTTGAAGCAGTTTACAAAATCAAATCATTTGATGTTTATATACGACTGATGATCGGCCTAAAAACTTGTTAGTTGAAATTCTCTTCTCACAAGAGATGACCGGAGATCACTCCGGTGTTTCTAACGAAATAAGTGGATCAGGGAGTTGTGTGTCAGTTTCATTTCTACAACGTATCGTTATAATGACCTTTCAATATTCAGTTGTGAGAAACTGGATGTACTTTTGGGAATACATACGTTTACATAATACATACGCAGTGTTTCATTTACTTCGAATAAAATCATCCCACACGAAGTGTAAACAAATAAATTTTTCAATTCATCTTTCGATTCTGACTATAATTTTCAATACTGAAAATGATTGCAAATCATTTGTGAGAACGATTTCAAATATCCTATCTTAGGAGTAAGTGATTAATGATTCAAGAATAAAACCTCATTTCTAGTTAACGCCAGCAGTGTATGGCCAGGGCTACTGATATCATTATCAGGTTGTTCCAGTTATATACGGCATGTTTTCAAATGGAAAATATGAATAATTGTAATAATCTTAATTCAAGAGAGTATTTAGCATAAAAATAGTTCTGTGAAATGAAAAATGAAACATTTTCTGCAGTGTTCTGATAATATTTTCATATTTCCCCGTTTACCTCGATAAGTTACTGATTGATTTCATAGTACTTTCACAAAGAGAAATGTTCTATTCATTTGTAATAAGTTACAATACGATAAGTCGTATTTAATAATTTTTCAACATTTTCTATCCAGGATATTAATTAAACAATTTTCATAACATTTTCATTTCTAGGCGCGTTTAGCTAACACTGTAGCTTCCTCATCAGAAATGAAGCTATGAATATATGTGTGTGTATTTATTAGCACTTGATTATACATATTGTTGTTGAGAAGAGTGTTGAGAAGAAAGGGGGAGTTATTTCATTTCGAAAAATTATCAGAGTGTCATCTCCATAACTAAATATTCAAAGCTCATTAGAACAGTGGAATGTGGAAACCAAGAAAATTTGTTTTACAGCTCTACACACCACACAGTGTATCTACATCAATGAGATTTTGACATTCCCTTTCATTTCTCAAGAGTTTGCACCGCCTCCTTGCGGCGATTGTTCTGTCGAATAAGAAGTGGTTGTAAAATGTCAACAACTTTAGGCGCCATCTTCTGATTGTAATAGAAATTGCGGCATATTCAAAATTTCAACTGAAATTTAAATAATAACAGAGGTATTAGTAAAAAATTACAGCCCAATCAATGCCGGATAAAAACTGCATACTGGTGCAAGTCACTTTCAGATTGATTGAAAAATCAATATTTATTTGCAAGAATGGCATAAGGTTGTGTAAGTATTAGATATATAATAATATTGAATCACACAAATAAATCTATTTATGTTTCTAAATTGAAGTAACACAAACTGGAGCTGCTTCAAATATATTAAAATATTTCATACTTGAACAATAATATGAAGTTAAAATAGTACTCGAGTAGTATTGTCATAGCACTGTTTACTTCAACAAAAGGATTTCAGATATTACTTTGAACTTGAACCTATATTTCATTAGTTTTCCCATTTCTCAGGTGTAAACTGCAATCCAAAGGTCGAAAGGAACCTAAAAATTTGCCCTAATTTGAACATTCCAAATTTACATATCGGATTGCTTGGGACACTCTATATGTTGCTTTCACAAGTTTTATATATTGATATATGTTGCTTCTATGAATTTTATATGTCGTTTTTATAAATTTGAAGTTATGGGGTTGCTGTTAGCTGTTGATAGTATTACTTAGGACAATCTATGTTGCTTCAGTAAATTTCAACTTGAGTTTTTGAACGACTTGGTAATTGTTGTGATTACTTGGAATACTATTGCTTTTATAAATTTTATAACTTTCTCACTTTAGATATATAATTTTGTGAAAATGGCTTTGTAAAAAGAAATTGTAACCCTTCTGTAGGTAACTAGTTTTTTATCCCTTTCATGTCTATTTGATTGCGATAAATATAAATGAGTAACTTTTTCTCAGAATTATACATTTTTGTTCTCAATCCAAATAAATGATAAACGGACTTTCAAACTATCCACCAATGTGCACAAAACCATTTTGTGTAATGTTTCATTCACAACGACAGAATCACTGGAAGAAATTCATAAATATACCATTTCAACCATGATGATATCCAACGATAATTGTTCACCCAAAAAAAGACCACTAATTACATTAAAAATTTATTTCTGACCATGATGTTCCATAATTTTCTGGAGACACGATAAACGGCAAAATATGTACAGTACATCTTACAATAAAAATCGATAACGTCTAATATTACGAAGCTTTAATTTCATTAATATAATATGGATCACATTAATTGATACGAATATCCAATATGAAAGTAAAATATACTGTATCTTCCACTAATCAACAAATCTTTCTCCTTTCCATTCTCAACCGCCCAAATTAAAATGAACCTTTCAATTATCATATCTTATACTCCATTATTAGTTTACTTAATCGAAAACAGAAGCGATAAACGATACAACAAAAAAAAAACTGAATAAGTCAAAGTCACTGGTGATCACTTTTATGTTTCTTCATTTCAGGGCCATCCATGTTTTTATGCCTATTAATCCTCTTGGCTTTGAGGATTGACAGTGTATCTTTGTTAGTTTGCCTAGGAAACTCGCTCAGGTCGGGTTTTGGATTCAGTACAGTCTGTGCCTTGAAATCATTGGGAATGCTTTCGTTGGAAGGTTTGAGGGGCAAAGATGAATTGTCCGCTGCTGGGGGAAAGGCCTCCAACAACAAATCTGATTTGGTACTGTCATGTGATGCAAAAGACTCCTCTTTCATGTCTTCGTCTTCCTCGAATGTATTTTCGCTTTCTACCATTTCTTCGTCTTCTTCATCATCCGGCTCACGTTCAACAAGTTTACCTGAAAATAATTCGATGTCTAAATTATTCCTTTCTGTGATAGTGTTGATAATCAAGCTAGTGACCATTAGAACAGAATCAGACTCAGTTTTTTTTAAATCATTCAACTCAGTAAATATAGAATAGAACATAATAAAAAATATATTAAATGGCAGGTTTGACTGTAAAAAATATTTTACATAAATGAGTTTCATTAGAGAGGCCTTGATAAAATCAAAAAGCATTTCTTGTCTATCTCTCAACTACAAAAATAATACCAATTCAATCCAAGAATATGCAGCATTTTCGTTCATGAACTGATTCGCCATGCCAAGTGTTTGAGAGAAAACGATTTTTCTGAAATAAATATATCCTTTGATCGAACTCCCTACCAAATCACTCATTATAAAGTAGTCGAAACCAGTATTTTAAATGGCAAGTTCCGAGGTGCAATTTCTAATTAGATTGGCATTTGCAAAGACTATTATTGAGTCCCAATGCAAAACAATTTCAGTTTGTAGCTTGAATTTGAGCACATCATGTTTTTCACACGGAAAATTATGTTAGCTAAATATGAACTAACTAGAAATATCGTACACTATAGCATTGAGGGATTAATATTATTATTGTTCTGATAGAAATATTTTATGTGGCGAAACGTTTGCTGGGTCAGCTAGTATCTTTATAATAAAGTAATATTGTAGTTTTTTTCTTCCTTTATTTTCAAGATTCCCACATTTTTGTTTAAACGATGGAGAAGCAGAAAGCCAAGAAGCGTTTTTCCAAAAAAACAACTGAGTAGTTCATAACATTTGAAATGAAGTTGTAATTATTTTTATACAATAACAATAATCAAAAATGAAATTTAATATCGTGAAACAGTTCTGAACAATTTATTGCTCTACAATTCCTGTCCTCCACGATCAATACAAATGATGGCTCGTTTGTTAAATGTCTACAGGGGCAATGAAATATTTCAATAAATGGGGACGAATAGTGACTTACCGTTAATTGTAGGAAATGCTATTTCTGGTAGCATTCTGATATCTTTTCCATTCTCTTTCATAAGACTCTGGATTAAAATCGCTATGTCCTCCCGCTTCTTGGTAACAGTAATCTCCTCAAACCAATTCTTAATTTCTTTAATTGGGATATGATAATCCTTGATAGGATCCTGAAATTATAAAGACTTGTGATATCAAACAACTTGAATTGGTTTAAACTTTCTCACCTTGAAAAATTGTTCAACATATTGTAGCACATACAGTCCACAGTCAGTAAAATTATTCTGTTGGGGAACTTTTGGGTTGGCTCCTTTGATGACGTTTTTGTCGAAAATCTTATCCTTTCCAAGTTTCGCCTTGTACTCACAAGTCAAATAGTCTCTGAGAGTGGCAACAACTCGACTCCTGCTAGCTCCAGCTAACGAGTCAAATATTAAAATGCACGGTCTGTAAAAGAAATCATGAGTAAAAATTTGAAAGTGAAGACATGAACAATGCTTTGTCGTTATTGACAAAGAGAATTACATCCATTTATTTATTTATTTTTTCATAAAGGAGTGAATGTATCTGAAAAGGTACCTCTAATATATTGTACAAGATCAATCAACGTGTAGACACATTCACCTTTTTTAAAGAATGATCTTATTCATGACGGTGTCCGGATTTCAAGAGACAGATAAAATGCAGTAGCCAACAGAGTAGTCAAAACTAGACCATTTAGTAATACTCCCAAGAAAATTTAAGTCTGTCATGCCTCTGGATTTGAATCTCGCAATTAATAACCTTAAAACTATTCTAGCACAAAAATTATAGTTAAAATGTAATTTCACTACAAAGTAAGGTCGATCATAGGTAAGTCTATAATTTCAGTAATTTCTAAAGGACTTGCAAATAAATTTGTACATTTCAAATTGTATCTGTATCTGTATCAAATCGTGAGGTGTAGTTTTTGAAATAACTATGGATCTTCATCAAGTAACGCCCGAATCAATTAGTAAATTTGTACATTTCGAACTTATTGTTGATACCTATAATAGTACTCACTTTGGAATTGTTCAAGTACTTTTCTTGAAAGTAGATATCATAAATTGGTTGCATCTTATTACATTCAATAAAACTTTTCAATCATAGACATAATTCCATTCTGTTTCTATTACGTTATGTCCATTTTCAGTTCACTATAGTTGAATTGAATAATTAAATCACTCGTTTCTTTTGCTTGATGTGCCGTTTTGGATAAACTCATAACTTAATAATACTTCTGCACGTAGATGTACGAGAGATTTGATTATTTACATTTCATAGTTTTTCAACCTTCAAAATATATTTTCGGCAACCATTTTGACTAAACGATGACCAACGTTGTCACCTTTAACGTAATTTGGTTGAAATATTTTTTTACAGCATTGACTGCTACAGTAAAAACTGAAAGGTCCCCAACATAAGCAGGCTAAGCAACTTGAAACTTCATCTTGCGTGACAGTACACTATAATTTTGTGTTTTCTGTTGTTGGCAATACTGAATATTTCAATATTTAAAAAAAATAAATATATTCGTTAAAAACACTTCATAAAAGTTTCAAACAGGTTGAAAATTGGGACGTTGAAAAAATAAAAAAACCGGCGTCTGGCAGTGGGTTTTGAACCCAAATTTCTGATTCTGATGATCCCTCTAATCTCCGCCCTATATCTCTCATACCAACCATCGCAAAAATCATTGAAAAACTAGTTGAAAAACAACTACTTGGATTCATAAATAAGCATTACATATCAGTAAAAATCAATTCGGCTTCCAGAATAATAAAAATACGGACGATGTTATATTCTTATTTCCGAATAAAGTTTATTCTGAGATAAGTGTCGGTGAAAATACTGCTGCAGTATTTTGTGACCTGGTATTTTGTGAAAAGGTATTTGACTGCGTTGATCACAAAATACTGCTGAGAAAGCTCCAACGTTATGGATGCAGAGGAGTAACTAACAAATGGTTCGATTCCTACTTAATGGGACGGACGCAAATGGTCAAAACAACTCAACTTTCAAAAAAGAAGGGAAAATAATTCTGGAGTTCCACAAGGTTCTGTGTTAGGTCCCATTCTCTTCTTATTATATATTAATGGCCTCACCAAGCTTAATATTTCAGGGAAGTTCACCTTATTTGCAGATGACACTACTATACTTTGGAATAATAAAAACACTTGTGAGATGCACAAAATCTCTGCCGACTTGAAAAAAGTTAAAGATTAGTGTGATTCAAACATTTTATCTTTTAACTTAACTGAAACAAATTTATTATCAATTAGATGCTCAATCAACGAACTTTTTTTGAAGACTGGAACCTAAAAATAACACTGTTAAACACCTCACTAGAAAAGTCTCCTCTAGCTGTTATGCGGTTAGAGTGATTTATAAAGAATTGGGGTTCAGCACTTCAAATATGGCGTACTATGCACTCATAGATTCTTACTTACGCTACGGAATACCGTTTTGAGGAGGATGCAGTCCAACTTTATTCAAGAGAACCTTAAACCAAGAGACTCCTGTAGAACCTTCTTCAAAAAACATAATATTCTAACGGTAACTGCATTATTTATATTGGAATCTGTGTGTTTAATAAATAAACATATATTGAATTTTGCTGCATCCTCTTCCCATTATAACACTCGAAACAATAGACACACTCTGAAACTTACTGTGCCAACTAAAAACATTACTAGATACTCCATATTTTAAAACGGTGAAAAAATGTACAATCATTTGCCAATGGACATAAGATCTGCCAATATAAATGACTTCCAATTCAGGAAGTTAGTCAAACAATTTCTATCTGATGAAAGAGCAAGATTAAACTCGGTTTAAGCTTTCTCATGAAGATAAACACTTGGTGATCATTCAGAGAAAAGCAAGATTCAACTCAGTTTAAGCTTCCTCTTGAAGATGATCACTTGGTGATCGAAAAACGTGTCGAGGTGTTAAAATAACGGTTTGGTGTTGGTCATAAAACTATTCGAGTTTCAAATTACCCTCATTTTGTTACCGAGCGATGAACTTTGAGAAAAATAACAATTTCTTCGGCATATCACAAATTTCTGGCAAAGTACACTCTTTTCCACTTGAGTCCATGTATGTTTTCTTATTTTTCGTTACATATCCCAAATGAAAAACTGATTAATTGTAAATTCATTAATTATTTCATACCTGAGACAGGTAATCGTCACGTTAAAGTTTGGAAAGGTAATATGATATGAGGCAACATTCCATTTAAGTATTTTACCTGAATTATACCTGTATCGATAAACAGGTACAACATTTTTATGTATATATATTGCTGATTTCGCTTATTGAATTAGTTTTCCAACACACATTGTTGTACGATACACATTTGAACAGATCTTGAAAGTTATCGAGTATCAAAGTACCAAAGGAAATAATGGAAGCGGTATTCGGTATTGTTGATATCGAGCAATATACAAAGGATCTCATAAGACAGCTTTGTCCTGACATGGATGAAGCTATGTTATCTTCAGAAGTGCATCGGCTTATCAACAAGGCGAACATAATTGTTAATGAAAGGGAAGAGAATCGGAAACCTCTGGAAAAATCAGCAGAATCGCCTTCAGTCAATACTCCCAGTATTCAGTTGAATACGATTTATCCAATTGCTGATGGTGACCACGTAATGGAGAGTAGGTGTGAAACAGCTGGAGGACTTTCAAATGTTGGAGACAGACCTTCAATGAGTTATCCGCTCAAGAGGAAGGCTGTGGACCAAGGAAATTCCTACGTAACATGTTGCAATTTTGTGAACTGTTTAGTAAGAATAAATCTCACTTTTGGGAAGCACCGTATATATTAAAATATATTTCTGCAAACAGTACTTTTCAATTGATTGCCTCACGTTGTAAACGTGATTACTGATTCAGTAATCACGTTTTATAGTATCGCCAAAATAAATGACTGTTAAATTCATAGAATTCAATAGTACATTATAGTATTTTCTAATATTGGCAATACTGACCGTAAGTCAATAAAAAAAAGAACGCCACTGCATGTAAACGTTGCCAAGCAGAATAGTGTTTTCTAATATTGGCAACACTGACAATAAGCCGCAAAAAAAGAAGTACGCTACTGTCTGTAAGCGTTGCCAAACATTATAGTGTTTTCTAGTGTTGGCAACACTGACCGTAAATCGATAAAAAAAACAGTACGCTACTGCATGTAAACGTTGCCAGTTTGTCATACTAATGCGGTAAAACAATTCAATGGCACGGCAACGTTTACATCAATTTACATCGTTAGTGAGTGATGACGCTTGAAATGGAAGGAGATAGAAAGATTGGAATAGGTAGGGGAAATTGAAATGCATCAGCGTCCCTGATGAAATATATATGAAACAGATGTTTGTTTTCTTTGGTAGAGTGTACTTGACTGAAATAAAAGTTGAGGGTTTCGAATTTAAAACAAAGTTTTTTTCCGTAAAGAAATTAAATAGTTTGGATATAGTTTTTTCTCTTAATGCTAATGGTAGATTTTTTTAGGCATCTTATTATATTGGGTGTTACAAATCTAACTGTAAAGTATACCATAACATAGACACTGAAATAAGATTTTTTGTTCAATAAACATGAGGTCAAAAATTAAATTCTCTGAGACATATTTCAGTTTTACAATCAAAATTCATTGTGGCCGTAAAATTGTTGTATTAAGACTAAGAAACGTGAGTTTTTTGGGTAGACTTTTTCGGTTATTAATTTCACGATTAGGCAGAAATTGGTCCAGAATGGTAGATTTTGTTTTCAACGAATTACCTATGACTTGCGACATTGAGCCCGATGTATTTTTCTATTCTGGTTCACTTAATACTATTTCAATGTCGATACAGTGACTGATAAGGTATGACCAATTGTGTACAGAAAACGTAGACTTTTTTGACTATAGCCACTTATATATCCAAGAATATTCTTTGAAACACATTCTTTGTGGAGAAGTCAATGTTCCTTACCGTTTTTTTTTGAGTTAACTTTCCACAATCTGAAAAATAATCAAAGCTAAATCAATTTTTTAGAGTAGGAAGTTGAAAACCCAAAAAACACTGAGGTATTTAAGAAGGTTTTGAATTGAATCATATGAACATGATTTTTGATGTATCTTTTATTTACAATTTATAATTTAACATTTTTAACTTGTGACTAGTTTTCTTTCTATATTTTAACATTCTTGAAACAAACATTTGACTGTCAAATAAATCATATCTATTTAATCTAATAACCGAATGGTGTTGGTTCAGTTCATACTTCGAATACTTGCAGTTTCGCGAGTTTTGTACAGAACTATTATAGAAGAGGCTCATGTTTTTTTCTCCTCAATAATTCAACTTGTAGCTTGTATATTTTGAGATTAATATGAGAATTAGGGAAATATAAAAATGTGGCTTTCTACACTTCCGT